GGGTTGAGTTGAGGCTGTGGCAGTGCATCTGTCCGTCGAGCAGTGAGAAACACGGTACTAACACAGAGGTGGGAAATCAGAGACAAAGACTATAATTGATCTGCTGAAGGACCACGAGTACACAGAAAGACGGATAGAGGGCCAAAACAGAGCCTTGGGGAATATTATAGCAAAAGACTGAAAGAAGGAGAAACCAGAGGAAAAGACGGTCGGATGGGTGAGAGGAAACCAGATTGATGTGGTGTTAACAGAAGCCAAGGAATTCTCGGGAAGACAGAGGCACACAATGGTGTCAAGTGTCAGAAGCAGGGCGACAAATTGGATAAGTCCATGTGATTGAACTGGAAGACTGCTGGGGCCCAGGATGATTTAAGTAAAATACCAGGTGCAGAATCCAGAGTTAAAAAGAGAAAAGGAGACGAAGCAGAAGAGCGTACAGGATTCTAGGGTATTGGCCACGAAAGAAAGAATGAACAAACCATGCACAGCATACCTGAGGAATTTTATATCACACAGTACATGGTAAAAATCTCAGGTGCTTTTTAAAGAAAACAGGATTCATAATGAGAGCTTTAAACTAATTATCCTGAGAAATGATTCATCTCTGTACAGATTACCCTTAAAAATGCTAATAGCCAGCTTTTAAGATTCCAAAATATTTTCCAAATATAATTTTGTTACATATAATCATCTTCATTAAAAGACTGACCAAGTGTCTAAACGTATGTGTTAACTGCACCAAGAGAACTATAAACCTCGACCGTGCTTTTATATGTCATGTGGTCCAAGGAGGAGTTATTCCACGGGATGGTCCACACAGAATGTTCTCATCAGCAGCTGACATTTAGTGAGAATTCCCAGAGTAAAAGACAGAAATCTTTTATGATGTTTATTTATATGGAGAAGTCATGGTTCCTACCTTAAGGTGCCAGCATTTTCTCAAAGTGCGTAAATCATGAACAGAGAATAATCCACTCACAGAATCCAGCCAGATCATTACTACACTATACAAACTTCCTTTAAAAAGCAAACAACAACAACAAAAAAAACTTTTTCCCCCAGAATATCTTTAAAATCTGTGAAATAAAAGGTCTGAAGCCTCCCTTTGAATTTCACAAGTTCATGTTTTTAACGATGAGGGGTTGCATGGAATATGTGCCATGGCACACGGCACGGGGGTCACACAGACCGGGGGTCACACAGACCGGGATCCCATCCCTTCTCCACATGGGAGTGGAGGGGTCCCTCAGTCTCTTCAAGGCTCAGTGTCCTCTGGAGCCTGGAAGCCGAGAAGTGGGGCAAGCAGGCAGTCACCTCCTGGGAGAAGCCCTCCTGGGAGAGGCCCAAGGGTTGATCCAGCACTTCTAACTACCTTCATTTTTTCCAAAATAAGAGCATCTGGAATAAATTTGATGCTAAAATGCACACAAGCAGCATACTTTGCCCTTACTATACTCCACCACATGTTGTACGTGCTGCTTGGGATAAAATGTTCTCTCTTCTGAATGTTTTCACGTGGTTCACTACTTTAGCGCATACACTTAACGTTATCCATTCCGATGAGCATTTGGAAGGGGCCTAGTAAAAACATCCAGGACGCCGAAGGGAAGGTGGTGGGTGTGCACCGCGCACGCGGGTGGCGGGGGTGGGGCACAGGCTCCGTCCTTGTTTTTATCTTGCTTTTAGCAAGACTCTCGTGTCAAACACAGGTTATTCCAGGATTGTAAGAAAAGTGCAGGAAAGTTGCCTTTTCAAAGGCAACTTGTGAAAGCAATTCAAGAGATAACCCAGGTGAGAAGCACAGGTGATCTTCAGCAACACTGAGAAGCTGGAAACACGGGCGTCCAGGCGTCTGATCCCTTCCTTTCTGCCGCCGTCCGCCCCGCCCCGCCCCGTGTCCTCTCCAGAACCTGAGCTTCGGCCCCCGCCCCTAAGCAGCGCCCCATATTCATGCCACAGCCTTCACAGCTCCCCGCCCCCCAGCTCCGCCAACTCCAGGCCTCCTGGTCAGGTTTGGGGGAAGAAACTGCACGTGCAATTTAATCCACGCTAAACGGTAAAATCCGAACGCTGCTGAACTCTTCCTTCCAGAGGGACCCTCCTCCCTCGGTATCCGTGGGGGGCCGGTTCCAGGATCCCCCGCAGGTACCAACAACCATGGAGCCTCAAGTCCCTCGAGGAACGTGGCGCAGCACTGTTGACCCTCATCTCCGCAGATGGGGAACCCTCGGATACGGAGAGCAGACTGTATTTGTATTTTAGAAACGTCCGGAAAGTGTTAATGCCAAAGGAATAAATCTCCAATGACAGATTTTAGGGTCCATTGGGCAAAACAGTTTGAGGAATGGGGCCTTGGGTTTTCCAACGTTTCAAACAGGTCTAGATATCTGGGCCTTAATTCGGAGGGAAGCTGTAGCAAAGGTTAACTGATTTCTCCACGTTTCCTGATCAGTTCTGCACATTCAGGGGAATGGGGGGGATGTAATTCAGAGGATATTGTTATGTCATTTTTTTTTCTTATATATTTCCCATCAGTCTCCTCCTGGTTTGGTCAACTATCAGTACGCCTTCGACATGCCAGAAAAAAACACTGTACTTAAACTTATGTCCAGGTTGGGCTATACAAAAGTGGCCTAAATTTATCATTTTTAGGTTTACATTCTTGTCAGGCTATCACCTGGTACAAGGTGATTTTACAAAATCAGTGCTCTCCACAGATCTGGATGAATATTCTACTCTTCACTTTTAGACATCTTGTCTTTAGCTAGTTATCAAGTTGGTAGGGTTTCTCAACCTTAGCACTTCTAACATTTAGGGTCAGAAAATTTTTTGCTGAGGGATCAGGGAGGTAAGGTATCTTGTGCACTGTAGCATCATCCCTGGCCTCTACTTATTAAATGCCAATAGCACCCTTCCAGGCGTGACAACTAAAAATGTCTCCAGGCATTGCTAGATGTTCCCTGGAGGTGGAAGGGGGCAGGCAGTATCAATCCTATTTGAGTACCACTGAGTTAAAATCAGATTACAAAAATGACAGCCCAGCCCAGAATTGGGAATAAAAAGTTAACAGTTGTTTTCACAAGGGTGGTAATGCGGTATGCAATTCAGAATTACCCTCACTCGCTAGCCCCTATACAGTTTTGTTCTAAAGGAAATAGGGTATCGAGAGTGTCAAAGAAAAAAACTGTAACTAATAAAATGTCTGGAAAAAAAAAAAGAGTACTAGGGGAAGCCTCAATATGAACCCAATCTGGGGGAGAGTTCTTCTGTCTTCTAGTCAAAGAACATGCTCCTTTTTGTGCTACTAGAAAAGGGCAAAACTAATTGGGACATATGTGCACCTTGCCCTAACCAGCTGGGCTAGCCTGGCAGACAACTGCAGAACAAACTGCAAACACAAAGATAATTTTGTGAAATCCATTTAAGTTACCAAAACAGAGAAAGAGCGCTACCGATAGACTGGACTAAAAGCATCTTTTCAGATTCACTGGATAGTACATGAGAAAAATTTTTAATTATGGCAGGCCTGAAAAAAATTACAGACCTGCATCTTTTGCTTGTTGCTATTTTGGAACCAATAAAGACTCAATTCTTATGAAAGCACATTTCCCATTCCCGAATTTGTCAATGGAGGCTTGGCTGCAGAGCTCTCTCCACTTCCTACTCCCGCATTCCAAAGTGAAGGACACACCATTAGCATCATAAGGTAAAGAAGGACTCCTGCGGGTCTTTTCTCAGGCAAAAAGAGGATCAGGTTTTCCACCTGAAACCCATAAAGGAAGGAATGGCCGAACAAACAGCTTTCAAAAGAGATGTTTTACCTACACTTACAGGATGATAGTTAAAATATATCTGATCTCTTTCTCTCACTTCCAATTCATCAGTATTTTTATCAGCACATTTTACACCTTTTTCTCCATCTTTTCTCTAGACCAGTGGGTTCTCAAAGTGTGCTCCCTGGTCAGCATCACCTGGGAACTTGTTAGAAATGCAAATCAGGCCCCACTCCAGACCTAAGCCATCTGAAACTCTGGGAGATGGTTCAGCCATGTGTGATAACAAACCTTCCAGGTGATTCTAATGCATCCCTAAAGTTTGAGAACTAATGACTTAGGCCAATCTTTCTATAACCACAGACAGATTTTATTTTATTTTTACAGAAAACGAAACTGCATACTAGTAAACTGAGTCCTCGGTGCACTTTATATAAATCCTCATTTGATCCTCAAGCCTGATGCAAGGTTGATTATCCCCGCCCTTTCGGGATGAGGAAACGGGCTCCAGGGTTAAGGGTCGCTCAAGGTCCCATAGCTAATAACTGCAAGTGGAAGATTAATGTTTCTGCAGTTCTTTTCACTCCTACTGCAACAAAGGTCTAGAGCACTTTATTAATACAGTCCATATTTTCTGCTTTTTCAGTTTTCCGAAATTCGGGGGGAAAAAAATAGAAATGGATGGGTGACAGCAGTGTGCCAACTGCCTTGGATCCTACCAAACTGGAATTTAAGGGTACGACTCTGTAAAGGTATCTTTCCAATAAGGAACGTTTAATTCGGCTGCGGTCCCTCCTGGCTTTGTCCCGGGGACTGCGCGCATCCCACAGAGAAGGGGTCGGAACTTCAGGCTAGGGGCGCCGGTGGCACCTCCGTGAGCCACCCACCTCTGCTCGGCCGCCGGGCATCCCCGACGCGACAGGTGGTCTGCGCCCAGAGAGTCGCCGGCAAGGCCCGGGCGCCCTGCGGCTCCGGGCCCGGGGGACTGGTTTACCAATGGAAATCGGCACACTCCAAAACCTGGGCGAGCGTCTACCCGCCACCACAGCTCGGGGCAGGAGGGGTCGAGTGGTGAACCCCAAACCGCCGAGGGCCGCGCGGCGAGAGACCACAAGCCCCACTGGGGTCAGAGTGAAGAGAAGGAAGGAGCGCGGAGGCTGGAAGGCGGGGGAGAGAACGGCAGGGGATGGAGACGGCGCGGGGGAGGAGGAGCCGGCCAGCACTCACCGTGAGGGTCGCTCTTCTCGCGGACCCCGTCCACTCGGCCGTCGGGGTGGATGCGCAGGAAGAAGCCCCCGTTTTTGCAGTACAGCCGCTTGGGGTCCTTGAAGTGGCCGGGCGGGAAGGCGCCGCTGCCGCCGTCCTCCGGCAGGGCGGGCAGCGTGGTGATGCTCCCGGCTGCCATGGCCCCGCCAGCGCCCTGCCGGGGTCCCCGAGCCCCTGGAGCCGCGCGGGGAGTCGCCGCGCCCCGGCCCCGGCCTCGGACGAGCTCCGGGGCGCGGCCCCGGCCCCGGCCCCCCAGCCTCCCTCCCCGCGGCACGCGGCCGCGCCCGCGGGCCCCCAGCCTCAAGCTGTTCCGCCGCTTCCCTCTCCGACGGCCCTAGAGCGCGGGGAGCCGAGCGGCCCGGGAGCAGGGGGTGAGGGCTGGGTGTCTTCGCGGCCGCCGCTCTCGGGAGGGCCGCCTCCCGAAGCTGCAGCGCTAGGGATCCTTTTGCAATCGCGGGCACAGCGTCTGCTGGTCTGGCAGCAGCCGGGCCGCGGCGTCACATCTTCTACGTCTCCACCCGCGAACGCCCACCAACCCCGCAGGTCCCCGGTCCTCCTCCCTTCCTGCGCGCCGCCCCCTACTCGCTCGGCGTTTTCTGGGACCGGTCTCCGGGTCTGGCGCTCTGGCCGCAGCACGCAAGCGCGCGACCTCCGTGCCCTGGGCGGGGGGGTGGGGGGGGCAGCCCGAACGCA